AATTTCTCCCCAAGAACACTCCTCAAAGTTCCTCTGAATCTCTTCCTTTCTTTACAGCACACAGAATTCCTCTTCGAAGTAGCAAGGAGGAAAAAATTTCTCACTTTTCCTCCACTCTTAAAATTTCTCAAAGAATTCCTCACAATTACACGGTCTAACAAGCTCAAATGGAACCTATCTAACCTCCAGGTCTCCAAAAGTCTCCAAGAGTCTCTTAGAGTCTCTAAGAGTCTCCTAGAGTCTCTTCCTTTTCAACCAAAATGTTCTCTATCAATATGTGGATGAGTTTTCCCAAGAGTCGCTTATGCACCCCTCCAAAATCTGGCCTTATCCATTGTACATGTCACATAACCGTTGATCGCCGTCAGCGGCCTCGATGGCGCCGTCGGCGCCCTTCTGGAGAATTTGTCCTGTAGCCTCGGGAAAATCTCGCCGTCGGCGGCCTCGTGTAATTCTCCACATTTTGGTCCTTTTTGCTCCAAATTCGCTTCTTTTTTGCATCTTTTTGCTTCATTGACCCTAATTCATCATTCCTGCAACAAAACATCAAAAATATCTTTCTTTAAAGTGCAATATCATTAAAAACAATATAAAAGAGGTATGAAAATCTTAACCTATTTTCCTTTGGTCAGTTATATCACTTAAGAAAGAATTATGCAAGAAGAGAAGATGAACCAAATAAGAGAGAGACTGGAGGGGAAAGAAAAAAAGTTTCTCGTGATTTTTGAAGCTCTAAAGAAGTGATTATGAGGGTTTCAGCTCTTCAAGTTAATTCTTTTTGGACATTCCTCATGAAAGCAGCCCTATACCTCATGTGGTTACCTCTATTTATTGGTAAAGCCTACTCAAAATGTGCTATAGACAACACTACTAAATAAATTAATTAATTTTATAATATATGAATAGAGTACATAACCAAATAACCAAAAATAAGGCCCGTGTATCGAAGTATAAATGAAGTCAATCTAATATGTTGTACCAAACAACTAATCAAATTAATTTGTCAATCTGACCAAACTGTCTAGCCCAATCGGGTGATCGATTTTGTCGATGGGGCTGACATGCTGAACTGGTTGATAGATCTAATAGGCCAATCCATGGTGTTATTGCTGCACAATACATATATTTCATTTTAACTTATTAAATATATTTTATTTTGAAATGAAAATATAAATAAAATAAAAGTCCCATAAAGTCCCCAAAGGAAGACTAGTACCCAAATAAAAACTCTTTTTGCTTTAGAGATTAGTTAAACTCAATTGAGTGCCCAAAACATTGCGAGCATAACAGATGACAACATCAAATTAAAAAACGCCAACTTCACCGAAATGAAGAAAATAGAGATCCCATGGCTGCCCGGACAAAAGTATGGACAAATTGATAGTAGAGGAACATCAGAAAGCACGACAGGAAACATAATATGGTCGGTGGCTAGATTTGCAATATTTATCACCATGACACTCAATATAGGACTGGATACAACAAGCACAATAAAATTCAATAACACAGGAACTTTAAGATGTTAACGAGTGCTCAATTATTTCTGCATTACAAAGAGGCTCATTATCATAATAAAAACAACAATCATTATTTGACCTGCCAAACCTGCCAAACCTGCCAAATAATCAGATAGAATCTGTCAGGAATGAGCCAGCAGCTGCCCTCCATCCAGCATCCAGTAACGAAGAAAAAAGAAAAAATCATATAAGAAATTATAACTCAATTGGATAGCGACGCTTGACAATAAAAGCAGCATCCTAACAGGCGCATCCTCTTCCTGGCTCCTGTAGTGAAACAGGCTCTGGGATGGTCTGGAAGTATCTGCAAGCGTGATAAATAGAATTACAGAAATCCAAAGAAATTGAATTCTTAAATAATCTTGAGACAGCCTTAAAATGATATTGTTTCAGAGATGAATTGGGCATTCCAGCAAAAACCTGGACCCTTAAACAGATAAATAAATCGATTGTTGATATAACATGGATAGAGCTTTTCAAATTGATGAGGAAAAAATAATTTAGCATCTCCTGCAACATTCAGTAGACACCATTAAGTTTAGGATTCATGAAGCTCACCCCTAATAGTTGAGATGATGGTGATGACATGTGAATCTATGCATTAGTTCCTGCCTACATAAAAATGATCCTTTTGCATCACGGAATTGGGAAAGGTAACATCAGACTCTCCTCTGTAGTGTCGGGCCTGAGCGTCATAATAAGCTATCTCAAAATCGGAA